ATAGCCCTGGCCCAACTCCCTGCCAGGAAGAGCCTGGTGCCGCCCCAGCCTGCAGTTGCCTTGTGCACATATCCGGGGGGCACATGCCACCCATGTCTTCCCTGGGCGTACATCCCACCTTCCCCTCACCCCCTGGACAAGCTACTTATGACTCCGTCCCACACCCTGCTGCACCCCGACTGTGCAGCGCCTGCCCCAGCCCCACTCCTTCCCTTGCCATGGAGGCCTCAATCTGCCTCCCCTACCCCTTCCCCCAACAGACTTACTGACTGGATGCTGCTCTTCACACTGCCAAGCTGTACTCCTGGCCACGTGCATGCTGTGGCTGCGCACAGCAACATTATTGGCCACATCAGCCAAAAAAAGCTAATTGCTGATATTGTCAGTTTTCCTTTTATCAGAGCCAATACGATATGGACCAATGTATCAGTGCACCTCTAGTAAGTTTTGCTGGAGTGCACCTTCCTGCTTAACAACAAGTTCCATCTTTCTGTAAAGACAATATTAAATTGCAGGTATACATTTCTTATTGTTTAATGACTAAGAACAAACTTTTCCTTGAGAAAATGATTAGCGTAGAAATGCAAGGCAAGATTAAAATGTTCTTGCTGACTGAAATCCCAGTTAAATCTCAGTTTAAGTGCAGTACTTAAATCACTTTGCCCTATCCTTTTATTTATTTATTATTTTTCCAGTTGTGTGTGTATCTAGACAAAGTTGGGCCCCTGTCCCATCCTCCCTCCCCCCAAATTTTGTCAGTGTTGAAGTCAAGAATTAGGAGGATAGTAAAACACTAAAACAGGTTACCCAGAGAGGTTATGCACTCTCCACCCTTGGCGGTTTTTAAGGCCCAGGTAGACAAAGTATTGGCTGGGATGATCTAATTGGGGATGGTCCTACCCTTAGCAGGGGGTGGACTAGATGACCTCCTTAAGTCCCTTCCAACCCTAATTTTCTGTGATTTCTATGAATTTTCGCCGATATCTTTTATTGGACCATCTGTGTAGTTAGGAGTTGTTGATAGTTGATCCAACAAAATCCTTGTCTCGTATATTTCTTGGACCATCTTGGCTACAGCAATGCTCCAAACCTACTACATCAGTCCTAAAGTCATTTGATATTTTCCTGAATCCCAAAGATGGGAAACCATTGGCTTTTTAACCAAGAAGTTTCCCTTTTCTGTGTACAAAATAAGGTGGTGTCTTTTTAATTAGTAATGACTTTTTAAAAACAAAAGCAGAAAATACAGTAATTTTTTTTGTCATCACCCTTCCCTCCCTTCTTTTAGTATCAGATCATAGTAATCTCCCGGAAATTGTGAGCAAAGTACTAACACAAGAAATGCAGAAAATCTTTATTAACAAAGACTTGGAAAGTTTTAACGAAGAGTTTCTCAAACACAGTGCTACCTCCATTCAGCACCAACTGTCAGGTTTGTTAATTTTAAATGCTATACAAAATAAGATTGGTTAACTTGGAATAACTGTGTACCATCATTTAATGTCTTTCTCTATACTGCAAGTCATTTTAATTAAAATGTCAAGCTCCACCAAAGGTTGCTTTTGAGATTTCTTCTTGTTGGAAGGGCTTTAACAATCTCCCTCCCAAGCAACAGCATGAAACCCATGTCTCTTCCTTCCCTGGAGAGTGCCCTATAGCCAGCACTTTTTTATTGGGGAGTGGGGAGGGGCATGCCCCACCCGTCCTATTAAATCTGTTGGAATGGGAAGTTTACCTTTTTAATAGAAAATGCCAGAATCAAGCCCTTGTAGTTACAAAAAAGCCTTGCTCCTTGTCAGGCCGCACAGTGAAATAAGATGATCGCTTCAATTTCTGCTGTTCAGAACTCTACGGATAACAGTGGAGCAATTCAAACTATTTCAATTTTATATTCTTCTTGCTCCTGCTTGGGAAAACTTGTCAGCACTTATTGGAGTTATTAGTTGGAAACAGATTGGTGGTGAAGGATTATTTGTTATTAAGAGTCTGATACAAAGGAAACTGAGCCCAGGATCTGAGTCTAATTACAATATCACAATAGAAGTCCCAACTCAGTCTTGCCTCTCTGAAGAGGAGGGTGTGCACTGGGAGGGCTGATTTGTCCAGGTCTCACTGCTGTTCTCTCCTCTGATGTAGTGGGTTTTAGTCATGCTCTGATGGGTATCTGGGAAATTTTTCGGAATCTTACAGTATGCTATAGGCATAGTCAGTCTTCATAGAAAGCATTGTGTTTTACTGGCTCAATTTTAATTACATTTTGAGTATAGTAGTTACAAACTAAAAAGATTGTCATGTCATAAACTTTGTCACTCTGGCTTTAGGGGACCACATCGGTGTCTCACACACTTTATTGATTCAGCATAGTGAGGTTTGCCCACAGTGCCATGCTTTGCAGTCTAGGTGTCTTGTATTGAGGGTGCAAAGATGGCAATTATATATCTGAAAGTCAAGCTGCCTGCTTTCTTTTTGACCATAATCACTAGTCAAGATTCTGGAAGTCGGGTGAAGTTCTTATTGATACCTTTGAAGCCTCAATCTACACTAGTTTCAAACGAACATAGCCAGTATAGTGTGCTTTTTATTTATTTTTTTTTATGATAAGTTACCCAAACAGAATATACTCAAACTCCATTTTTAAGCTGTTTGTGCTCTGCAGATCTATCAGGTATATATAAATCCTTAAAAGTTCACTGAAAAAGATTTATTAAGCAAATCTGAGACAGAATGAGCGGACGCAAAGATGCATTCATTCAGTAAGAAGTTTCTGAACTTCAAAGGGCATCCAAGCACTGGCAGGTGGCTCTTCAGTGCTGGGGTCCTTACACACCCAGAACTTGAGAGGACTCTTGGGCAGCCTGGGAGCCCTTTAAAGGTTGGCATTGGGGACAGACTAGCCTGCGAGCCTCCCTGACAACTCATGCTGGGCAAGCTGTCAAGGAGCCAGCTGCTCTCCCTTCTTCCCTCCCTCCCCTTTGAGAGACCTGGTCAAACATTTGAGTTTGTCCCAGCAGGACAAAGAAGTTGTTGTTTGAATCAGAAGCTTGTTTGTTGTGGATCTGCTGCTTTTGTAGTGGATTGGCAGTCTTTTTCTTGGAACAAATTCCTTTAATGCCTGGCATGTTACCATTTGTTGTTGGAAACTTGCATGCATTTTCCAGCTAATGTAACATTTGGAGGGGGCCTAAGGTACATGCCTGAAAACAGCACTGCATTGTACTAGGACTACCTCGAGTACCACAAACATAGCTGTACTAGCCTGCGAAGAGCTCCACAGTAACTCAGTTAGTTATATTGCTTCTGGTACCGATGCTAGCTTGTATCTTTGCACGGCATTACACTGTACTACATAGATAAACCTTTGGAACGCACCAAAATCGCGTCTTCATTTCCATTGTTCAGGCAGTTCAAATAAACGTTTGGGCTTTCAAAACAAATCAGAGTGGTTCTGAGAAGACAGTTGTTTACTTCCCTTGTCATTTGTAAGGTGAATCGCAACTAGCCAGCTGATCTGGATGCCTTACACCAGGGATGTCTAACTCACCCATGTCCCTGTGCTGGATCTGGATTACAGGGCTCCTCTCAGGCCAGTTCCAGACCCAGCAGAAGTGGTGTAGGAGTTGCTCACCTGGCCATCGCACATGTGCCCCCAGTGGGGCTCAGTAGGTGGGAATTTGGTGATGAACCCTGCCCCTGCTCGCATCAGCTCCTCTAGGAGCCCCATGGGGCAGGTGAAACAGCACTTCAGGCATCATGCAGCCTGTGGGCCGTACCTTTGCCATCCTTGTGTTAGGCACCAAGATAATCCTTACACTTATACTAGTCATGCCTTTTGACCTCTGTCTTCCTTATTAACTGTTTCCTTAGTCATATTTCAGTGACTACTCAAGCAAGATGCTAATAAGCATTTTATGTTCATCACTAGTGGAATCAAGCTTATGCTCCTAAACTTAGTGTAAGATTTTCTGCTATTGTATGTGAAGTATAAGGGGTGAAAAAGGGAAAACTGATGTGATGGTTTAAAAACTTTAGCAAGTCTCATTCTACGTTGATAGAAGTTTTGTATTTCAGTTGTTTTCTGTATCAGTTTATAATTTTAAAATTAAATGTTGCATCTAAGACACATTTACAGTTTTTTTTAAAGATGCTTTTTTCCTTATGCTAAGGTGCTAAGATGATGTATTTCCTTGATAAATCAAGACAAGAGAAAGCAATTGCTATTGCTACTAGATTGGATGAAACTATGGGAGACAAAAATGTGAAGGTAAAGTAAAAAATTGTAATCTCCATTTAGCAGGGGTGGGAAGTGTGGTCTCAAATGCTGTGTGTAAAGTACTAGATAAATGTACTCATGTAAGTTTGGTCAGTATTGTTAGGAGGAATGTTGTTTTGTTTGAAATTATGGTCTTATTGCCAAGACTTGTGGAAACAATGATAATGGCACTTATTACCAGCAGGGGGCGGGTTGCATTCATTCATCAGGCAAGCAAGATTTTGTAACAGCTGCAAGAATGTTTGGTAATAAAACAGTCTAAATCAAATGTATTAACTACTATTCCTGTTTTCTTTAGATTTTAACAAAGGTTTGCGAGGCACTGCTTGATGGAAGCTTTGGAAGCTGTCATAGTCAATATGAAGAATATCGAGCAGCGTGTCATAAACTGTTTCCTTTTACTTCTGCCTTCATGCTGGCCACAAATGAGGATGATAGTAGCATTACATCAGTGAACCACACAGCAGTGAACCATGATGTGCTGTCCAATGAAATTTGAACTAGTATATATACATATATATACTGATATGAAAAAAAAATCTCACCCTTACCATACAAAACTGGCTGGATACAGATCAGGGTAACTTTTCCAGGTTGTATTTTAATATCTCTAACAGGTATAAATGAAATATTTGGATAGCTAAATGCAAATGGAGTATGCTAATAGTTGTTTTTTCCTCCCAACAAGAACTGCCAATATTTATGTAAACATTACATGTAATCAGCGCTTGTCATGTTTATATTTGTACAGTTTCAGGTCTTTTAACAAGAAGATCCCTAAATTACAGACATTAAAGACTCTCTTCACCTAAATGTTGTTACATATAAAAATAAATGTGATCATATCTTGTTAATAAAATGATCAGTTGAGCAGATTTTAGCAAATTAAGACTGATAAAGTTCTGCTTGTAGCATCCTCCATCATTTTCTGTTGGTTTTTTTTTTCTTTTCCTTTTTTTTTTTTTTTTTTAATTTGGTCAGTGTGGTTTCTTTTGAAGCACATAATTATAAAAGTGGTGACTGTTTTGCATGTTTTTGTCAATTCTGTGTTTTGTATGGAACCAGTGCCGGTAGATACTGGGAGGTCTGGCTTATTTACAATTTTTAAGTTTTTGAAAACTGTCTTCTATCTACCTTGTGTTCCATCACTATTGTTAGCTGTTGTTTCCTTAAGTTTCAAATGGTTTAACATTTTAAAAACAGTTGAGTATGCATTAAGAATTCCCAGAAATAATAGAGACTGCGATACACCATTGTCTGTCTGTTCCCCATCCCTTTCTTCCTCCTCCCTTGCATTTTTAGATTGGAAAGGCTACTCCAAGGTTGGGCAGAAGTGTATGGTACAGTAATGGGGAATATAGATCTCCAGATTTTATAAATTTGCTGGTAAGTTTACCATATACCTCCATTAAAAGTCTTAGTTGCGGATTTATGGCCAATAAATTTAATACTTTTCTTCCTTAAATACTATTGCTTTATGTACTATAAAACAAGTAGTATTTGAGGAATGCATTTTATATTTAAAAACTAATTAAGGGAGCACAAAGAGGCTGACAACACATCAATGAACTTTTTTCTTACTCTGTATTCTGGTACATTAATTATTAAATGTACAACATATCAAAAATGAAAGTCGGAATCAAATATAGCCATGTAAAGCATAATACTGCTGGAGAAAATGCCTACATGTGACAGCTTTACATTCTATGAGAACTGCTATCAAAATATAATTATACTGTGGCTTGTACAGAAATAAGTTTTCTGGAAACTGTAATGGAATCATTCAACCAGTTTGTTTTTATTTTACCGCAATGTAAATATTTCAGTAATATTAACTAGCCCCTCTAAGACAAATATACATTCATGAAGGGGGATTTTATTAAGACAAATAAACTGTTCTAATTAAAATGGTCTCTTTTTGTGTCTCATCTGTTTAGATTCAAATTGTTGAATGAAAAACTCACTGTAAAATAATGCCAACGTATGTTATGCTGTAATAAATTATTTTGTACACACTGGCTTTTTGGGTTTGTTTTTTTGCATATTCTTCAACCACGTCTCTTTTAAGGTAGGAAATCTATTTAACACGTTTCTCCCCAAATGTTGCCAGACTCGCTTCTACAGTGATTAATAGTTTAACATGTAAACCGAGAGGGGAAGGGGGATTTCTGCATAATTCTCGAACTTTGATTCATTGTTTTTTGTGCAAAATGTCCATTTACCCTATGAATAAGCCATATGCCCTATGAATTTGAGAATAACTTGTTCAAAGTTGATTCAAGGAGAGTGGGAAGGGTATCTGTCTGCAGTTAGGCGGCTTTTGATCACTGACGTTAGAATCCATTTGTTTCTGGAGCCAACCTAAAGTAATTTTGTTCCCCCTCTCTCAGTACCTTACACAAAAGAAAATGTCTGAATGGATGTGTCTGCATAGTCATGTAGCTGACTCAGCATGAGGTAGACGATGATAAAAAAGTTATACTGGAAACCACTTTTGAACACGATCGTGAACCTTGAGTTAACATCTTAGGTTAACACACAAACCAGGTTCATGTCAAGATACTTGTATCTCCATCTCTGAGGTAACAGGTTTCTAGAAAATGAGCTGTCCATCACCTAGTTCTGGCTTTCAAACTTAAAAATATTGGGTACTCCTTTGAAAAGCTTTTAATTGTAACCTAAAACTGATTCTTTCTTCCTCCTTTTTGGTTTCTTGTGGAATGCAGGGACTTTTCAGGGGTTGGGAGGCATCACTACAGATTGCTCTGGGCATTAGCTTTTGACCATCATGTAGACCACCGCAAAGGATGTCGGGGTCATACAGGAAGGCTAGTATGTTATGGAGGTGTCAAGGACCAGAGGATCCTGTGTGAAGATGTTTTTAAAAATACTTGTTTTGCAGATAACTGGTATATCCTAAAAATTAAAGAAGTTTCCATGATACTACTATCCACAGAGAGCATGCATCCCTCAAAAGTTCTCCCACGCTGTTTTCTCAGTATATACACACATTCTTTGTATTTGAGTAAATAAATTTGTGCTTATACTGGTAATATTTGACACATTCTAATGTAACCCTTTGCCTTTCAAATTTTAATTAAAGTTTTAAAAGTTTATCCCAGTGTCTTTGTTACTACTTCTCTGTAGTACACCTTGTGTCTCTTTCGGGGTCTGTCATTCTTGCTTTCCACATCACTCCTTTTCCTTGGTTTCTTTTTCCTTCCTGACAAACCCTTCCTTTTTCACCTCACTCTATTTGTCTGAATCCAGTCTTCATTCCCAAACCTAGTTAGTAAACTCTAATCATAATTACTCTTTAGTCTTCTACCTGAACCCCTTTCTCCAGCAATCTGACCATCTCAGGAACTGAATGTTTCCTTTCCACTGGGTCACCTCTTTGGACCAACACAATCTGGCTTTTTTGCTAAACCAAAACTAATCCTTTTGCACTTCTAACTGCTGGTTTTGAGCCCAGTAGCCTCACATCTGCTCTGTTCCTACCCCTTATCTCCAATGCAGGATTCTCCCAAAAATCGCCTCAAATCTTGGCTACTGTCATCTTTTCACTGGAATCCAAGGCTGGTGACTTAGCCACTGCACTGTTCTTCCTCTCTCACTACTATTACAGCCAGTGAGGTGAGAGAGGTTGCAGAGATCCGGAAACTCATAGGGTTGATTGAAGTTTACCAGAACTTGTTGCATGAAAAACCTTGAACCGTTCTCATTTCCCTTCAAGGCATTTCACAGTTGCAGGATATTTTTAGCCAAAATTTCTTGTCCTAAATAAACTGGTTCTTGGTTGCTTTGCTTATAATCGACTCTGACGTATCCTTCCAAAGGTGGATAAGGTTACTTTGGCCACATGTTTATTAATTAAGGGATGTTGAATAGTGAGAATAGGATCCAAATGCCACAGTGCTTATGTTAAAGTCTTTTCAAAGAAGCTCACATTAACTAAATGGAAGCTGTATTGTCTTCATGAAGTCAGTACAATGGGTCCCAACTTTTTTTATACTGTGGATCGGCAAACTCACTCGGGTATAGAAACAATCTAATTTACATATTTAAATTTAAATTTTTATGTGGGTGGAGGGGCTGCAAGGCTCGGAGGCAGTGTATAAATACAAAACAAACTCGATATGCAGAGGAGAGGCACAGTGCAAAACAGAGGGACCTCCATTGTTTTATTTAACAATCAGGAACATCATCAATAAAGGAGGAGACAACAGCTAAAAATCATACATACACATCACTAGCTGGCTAACGTTATCCCATAAGTACATCTACTTTTGTGCAGCGTGTTTGGACTCCAAGTGCCAAATAAGCTTTGAAGGTTTCATTGCTTTGTTGGATGACGTTTCTGCACATAACACACAGTGGTTTTGGAACCTGTGACTAGCCCGACAGGATAAACCCATATTTTATGTACAAGGAGTCATACTTGTGATTGAAAGTTGCTTTTTTTTTTTTTTGGCATTTTCTTGGCATTGTATATCCTCTGCACAGTTTTCCTCTCTGTCGTTCAGAACTTCATTGCCTCTTTTCGCGGAAGCCCTCTTTCCAAAAAAAAAAAAAAATCCATTGATGTTTGCTTGATCATCTCTTAGCTGTTGCATTTGATACAGAAGTGACTACCCACAGTTACCGTGGTCCAATTTAAAAAACTAAAGTCACAGTCATTGGCCAAGCGAAGACATTCTTGCCTAGCCAATCAGCATGACGTGGGCATGGCCTAGATATAGAACTGTTGCTAGCAGTGGTTAAAGTTTGTGCCACGACCCAGCAGCCAACCCTTCACAGCCCGGTCATGGCCTGGTGGTTGGGAACCTCTGAGCTAGTACAAAACCTTTATTGGAAAAGCATTAGAGCTAATCAACTTGCTCTTGTGATTGCCAAAAGCCCAGACTTTTCACTCATGTTTAAATGTCAAAAGCTACATTCACTATTAGCTTTGCAGTTCAAAGAACCTTTGAAAACTTCGTTTTGAAGCATTTTTAGTTTCAAATGTTAATACAATAATCTATTATTATGCATTATTATTGCATAATAATTAAGTAATTGTTATGATGAGCTACTGAAATACCCATATATAAACATGGATAAAAGATCAAATGTTTTGGGGATCCTTGAAGCTCTTATTAAAATATGACTAATATATTTTAGTCAGTGAGGCCCTAAGGGACCGTGACCACAGGGAGAGGGGAGTTCAAGAGGAGTGGTTGCTCCTCAAGGGAGCGATCCTCAATGCACAAACTAAGTCTATTCCATCTCGGAGGAAAGGCAGCAAGAGGGCACAGCAGCCCCCCTGGCTCTCCAGGGACCTAGCAGATCTCCTGAGGCTAAAAAGAAAGGCCTACAAAGGGTGGAGGATGGGAGTCACCTCCAAGGAGGATTATTCTGCACTGGTCTGGTCCTGTAGGGAGCAGACCAGGAAAGCCAAGGCTGCAACTGAACTCCAGCTAGCTTTGAGCATCAAGGACAATAAGAAGTCCTTTTTCAGATATGTGGGGAGCCGGAGGAAAAGCAGGGGGAACATTGGACCCCTGCTGACCCAGATGGGGCAACTGACAACTGACGCCCAGGAAAAAGCCAACCTATTAAATAGGTACTTTGCGTCAGTCTTTCATCAGTCCCATGGGACACCCATGCCCGCTACAGGGCCGGGAAGTCCGGGTGAGGGTGATCCCCTGCCCTCCATTAATGCTGACTTTCTGAAGGAACATCTTGAGAAGCTGGATACCTTCAAGTCAGCTGGCCCTGACAATCTTCACCCCAGGGTACTCAAGGAGCTCGCAATCATCATAGCCCAGCCTCTAGCACGGATCTTTGAAAACTCTTGGCGCTCTGGTGTAGTGCCCGAAGACTGGAAGAAGGCCAATGTGGTGCCTATCTTCAAGAAAGGGAGGAAAGTGGATCCGGCTAACTATAGGCCCATCAGCCTGACTTCTATCCCGGGGAAGATCTTAGAAAAGTTTATTAAAGAGGCCATCCTTAATGGACTGGCCGACGCCAACATCTTAAGGGATAGCCAGCACGGGTTTGTTGCGGGTAGGTCTTGCTTGACCAATCTCATTTCCTTCTACGACCAGGTGACCTATCACCTGGACAAGGGAGAAGAGATTGATGTCATATATCTTGACTTCAAAAAAGCCTTCGATCTGGTGTCCCATGATCGCCTCTTGGAGAAACTGGCCAATTGTCGCCTTGGGTCCTCCACGATCCGCTGGCTGGAAAATTGGCTCCGGGGTCGGACCCAGAGGGTAGTAATCGATGGAAGTCACTCATCGTGGTGTCCTGTGACCAGTGGGGTCCCCCAAGGCTCTGTCCTTGGACCCATACTGTTCAACATCTTCATTAATGATGTGGACACTGGAGTCAGAAGCGATCGGGGGTCATCATTGACCACAAGATGAACATGAGCCTGCAATGCGATGCGGCGGCTAGTAAAGTGACCAAAACGCTGGCTTGCATCCATAGATGCTTCTCAAGCAAGTCCCAGGATGTCATTCTCCCCTTGTACTCGGCCTTAGTGAGGCCGCAGCTGGAGTACCGCGTCCAGTTTTGGGCTCCGCAATTCGAAAAGGATGTGGAGAAGCTTGAGAGAGTCCAGAGAAGAGCCACGCGCATGATCAGAGGTCAGGGAAGCAGACCCTACGATGACAGGCTGAGAGCCCTGGGGCTCTTTAGCCTGAAAAAGCGCAGGCTCAGGGGTGATCTGATGGCCACCTACAAGTTTATCAGGGGTGACCACCAGCATCTGGGGGAACGTTTGTTCACCAGAGCGCCCCAAGGGATGACGAGGTCGAATGGTCACAAACTACTTCAAGATTGTTTCAGGCTGGACATAAGGAAGAACTTCTTTACTGTCCGAGCCCCCAAGGTCTGGAACAGCCTGCCACCGGAGGTGG